TTTGGGGTGGTGGTGGTGGCTGCTGGTTGTGAGCAGCGTGTAGGCTGGCTTTGACTATAAAGGTGGGTGCTTTCCAAGAACGTGAAAGGGGCGTGTCAGAAGTAAGGTAACAGTTGCCTACCAGCTTGGAGAACGTCCTGCCGGGGCTGGTGCTGTTGGCTAGATGTTGGGCTGGAGGGTCAGTGGTTCAAACTCAACCAGACTCCGTGCTGCGGAGGAAAGATGAAGCTGTCTGCTCCCATAAAGACTGGTCATCTCAGAAACCCCACTGTGAGTCAGAATGGACTCGGTGGTAGTGGTGGTTAGTGGTCAGAGAATGAATGGGTGTGCTTGCTCAGTGCACACACACACACACACACACACTCACTCACTCACTCACTCACTCACTCACTCACTCACTGAACTGGTTGGCTATAAGTCTTTCTCCCCATTTCCAAAAGCTGTGGCCTGTGGTCTTCTCTCAGTTGGACACAAGTGACTGTGTCTGAGCATCCTGTTGGGGCTTTGTCTCCAGCTCTGAGTCTCACGGATGCAGTCGTTAGAGATTGGCGGGCTGGAGTGGGGGAGCCAGGATATATTTTACCTCATTGTAGATGTGGAAGGAGCCCTGGTGGCATAGTGCTTCTGTGTTGGGCTGTGATCGTCACGGTCTGCAGTTTGAAACCAACAGCCGCTCTTCAGGAGAAAAACTGGGCTTCCTATTCCCGTAAAGAAGGACAGTCTCAGAAACTCGCAGAGGCGGCTCGACCCTGTCCTGCAGGCTTGCTGCGAGCTGGCATAGACTCAATGGCAGTTTGAGTATTTCAGAAACAATGACTTTATTATGTGTGCGTTTGCGCACACTGCTGGCCAGTCATCTCTGCATGTACCGCGTGGGCACGTGGTGACCTTCTAGTCATGCACCTGTTCTCCCCTTCTGTTACCTTACTTGCACGTGGTGACCTTCTAGTCATGCACCTGTTCTCCCCTTCTTTGCCCGTGTCCCCTCCCTGGTAATTCACAGTCACAGCCTCCAAGTCCTCTCAACCTGCCAGGAGGCTGACAGCCGGATCCTTGGCTATGTTGTTATTAGTGGACACTTACTGTCCACTGGGCGGCTCTCGGTGCCCAGCAGGGCCAGGCCTCCAAGCCATAGACAGAGGAGCAGCTTTGCCCAGAGAAGGTCCTTGGCCCCGGGCCCTGCACCCAGGATATGTGCCTGCCTGTTCCCACCTGCCCCTTTGTTGGACCCTGAGCAGTTTGTGTGGTAGGGTGAAAGTTTCAGAGCCCATAAGTTTCCCTTTCAACAGTTCTACACACTCTGTGTCCTGACACCAGCTGCTGCCCCAGCCCCCTAGCAGTCTTCTGCCCACTGCCCGTGAACTGGGTGCTTCCCGCTCCCTCTGTGCATTCGCCCTGCCCTTTCCTGCCTGTTGAGCGTGGCTTCCGGACCAGTGATGCTTTCTGGTCATCATGTGTGGCTCCTTTGCCAAGGGCCACGTTCCTCATGGGTGTGACTGTTAACAGAGCCCTGGTGGTGTAGTGGGCTATATGTTGGGCTGCTTAATCGCCAGGTCAGCAGTTCAAAACCACCATCTGCTCCACAGGAGAAAGAGGAGGCTTTCTATTCCTGTAAAGACTTACATTCTCAGAAACTCACAGGGGCCGTTCTACCGTATCGTATAGGGTCATTATGATTTGGAATCCACTTGATGGCAGTGGGCGATTGTTTGGCTGAAAGCTGACCCAGGGGGTGAGTTCAGCTTCAGGATTGAAGGGAGTCTAAGCGCTATACCTGGAGGGTCCCTCCATTCTCTGTCAGACCAGTCAGCCTGGTTTCTCTATGGCTTTGAGTTCTGGACCACATTTCTCTCCCACGCTGACAGGGCCCTTGCTGTGGCCCTGATCTGATCCGAGCCATGGGGCAGGCTAGCTAGTCACTGGCTGGTCCTTCCAGTCCACTCCTTCTCTCAAGGACCTCAGTTGCCCTGAAGGCCAGTCCTGTGGCTGCCCAGGCCAGGCCACCCCACCACCCCACTGTGGCCACCACTCTGGAGTTTGCCCTGGCCATCTGGGTTTTCACCTCCAGTGTGGACAGAGGGCTTGAGAAAGAAACCAGCAAGTTGGAGTCCACTCTGGTGCCCTCTCGCCTGGCCTCGTCCCGGCAGTCTTCAGAGGCGTCATGGAATGGGGCCCACACTCTGAGACCAATCACTTTCAGACGGTCAGAGATTGAAAGAAAGAAAAAGCAAATCACTGGGGCTCCTAGAAAATAGCGGTCAACTCCCGAGAGCCCTTCTGATTGTGTCTGATCAGCGGTGAGCGGGGCCCCACCTGGAACCCTGCCCCAGGGTCAAGTGGATGTCAGGGTGAGCACGGGTCCCCTGAGCAGACAGAGGATCAGTGACCATGCTGGGCCCTGGACCTCCCTGGACCTAGCCACGGCAGTGTGGAGGGGACCTCCACTGATGGCTGGTGGAACACGGCTCCTGTCAGGTGGCAGGCACCCTGCCTGGACATCGGGTCATCCTCCCAGGTGGAGGGCGTATCACCTGGGCCTCAGTGTCCCCACCTGAATGTCACCATCACGTCCCCAGGGGGAGTGGTTGTGAATCTCGTGTAAACACCCCATGCACACCCACATGGAGCACTGCACATGGTGTCTTTACCACCCTTCACGGACCCAGTAGTCGCACAGGACTCCCTAGGCCCCATCCCTCTCCTAAAATGGACCTGTGCCATCCCATTAGTCCTGATCTACCTGCTAGTGTGGCCCAGCAGAACAACGTGTTACAGTGCTTTCATGCGTGTACTGTTGTGTGTCCAGCTTTGATGCTGTTGCTGCTGATGTTGGTGGTGATGGTGGTGGCAGTGGTGTTGCTGATAGTGGTGGTGGTAGTGCTGCTGATGGTGGTAGCGGCACTGATGGTGGCAGTGGTGGTGTCGGTGATGATGGTGGTGATGACCCAAGTGGTGGTGGTGATGGTGATGATAATGATTATGGTGGAGGTAGGGGTGGTAGTGATGGTCATAATGGTAATGGTGTTGATGATGGTAATAGTAATGATAATGGTTGTAGTGTTGGTGATGATTGTGGTAGTGGAAATGATGGTGGCAGCGGTGTTGGTGATGATAGTGTTATGGTGGTGGTAATGGTTGTAGTGGTGATGGTGCTACTGATGATAGTGGTAGTGGTAATGGTAGTGATGTTGGCCGATGGTAGTGGTGGTGGCAGTGATGTTGGTGGTAGTGTTGATAGTGGTGGCGGTGGTGGTGATGGTGGTGGTGGTGGTGGTGGTAGTGTTGGTGGTTGTATTAGTTTAGGTACTTTAGAGAAACAAATCCACAGCAACTCATGTATAAGAGAGTTTTATGTAAAGAAAGTGTGCATCACGGAAACATCTCAACCCAATGCTGCCCAAGCCCACAAGTCCAACATTAACCCATTAACCCAACACCAGTCCACAAAGTCC